ACACACACACACTTGCACGTATACACACACACAATTACACGTATACACACACAATTACACATATACACACACACACTTCAGAAAGTATTATGGACATTTAGACGTTTTTCTGTGAAAAAGCAGCCTGTGAGATCAGCTTGTTATGTGTTTTGTTGTATTTTGCGCATTGATTATATTTCCTACGTGCAATCAGTGCAATCGCAGATGAGTTTTAATTTGGCTACAAATGGTTACCCTGGCACCATCTTCATAGTTCACCGTTTTGATTTTCATTTTGTTGTCATTCATAAAGTGGGCTCCTGTCTTCTTCAGCAGTTGTTCTTCATTGTTTCCCACTGAGTAAATTTACATGCACAACACATGACTGCTTGCAATTCTGACAGACTTGCATAAATGAATAGAAGGGTTCCATTGTCCTCACCAGAAGACAGGTTCCCACTTTATAAATGAACTAGGATGATGATGGGTCTCTGTTGCTTTACCATTTATTTATTTTCCTCATCCACCTTTTCATGTTCGGAGACTCGTATCCCCCCCACCACCCCCCCTCCTCCACAGCTCCTAGTGGTCTCTCATGTTGCTGTAATGTTGTTGTTTACCACTGGACGTCTGATGCTAATCTTTGCTTTGCCTTGCCTCTCTGTCCTCTGTTGGTCGTTTTTCCCACCCTCCCTCCCCCCCCCCCCCCCCCCCCTCTCTGTCCCCTCCATTGTCTCCGTCTGACCTGTAACGATTTATTTCACGCTTTTTCAAATATTCATTTTGACCCTCCCTCCCCATCTCCGCCCCCCCCTCCCTTCTCCCCTTCTCTCCCTCCTATTTTAACGCTTGTGATGTCTGCATTGGCCTGTTTTGGTGTGACCAATCATCCACTCCAAAATTTACGCGCAAAATCAAAACACCCGCCCACACACAAACCCTGCATCACGATTGGCTGCTTCCTCCTGGCGACGATCTTCCTTGCCCTCTGCCTCCTCCTGTGTGTTCGCCCCCTGGCCTCTCCTGCCCTGATTGGCGGCTGCTTCTTCGCGCCCTCTCTGTGATTGGCTGTGCTGATGACGAACGGTGTAGTTCACCAAAATATGGGCTTCTTGCTGACAGGTACCACTTCTGTGAAAAGTGTTTCAACGAAATCCAGAACGAGAGCGTTTCCTTGGGGGACGACCCCTCCCAGCCTCAGACGTGAGTACCATCACACACATGCTTTCCTCTCTCTCTCTCTCTCTCTCTCTCTCTCTCACACACACACACACACACACACACACACACACACACACGCACACACACACGTTGTTGAGTAATACTTGTTGAGATGTTATGCATCAAAGATTGAATGTACCAGCTGTCGAACCCCCAAAGAAGCTCTTGTTAGAAAAGACCACACAAGCATGAATTTAAGGTTAAGATAAGAGATGCCTTTATTGATCCCCAGAGGGGAAATTTGTTTGTCGCATCAGTACAAGGACAGCAATTAACAGTGACCATCAACACTGATTTGATATCCACACAAAAGCTGGCATATTTTACCTTTTAAGTAACTATGGGGTTAGAAAAACCATTTTGTTCCCAGTGTCATACATATATTTGGTACCAGCTTATTCAGGTTGGTCAGTGAAGCTATACAGTGTTTAGTGAACTTTTCAAATCCAAGAATTTTTTTTTGTGGCTGCACCGCTCCCTAAAATGGAAATGTTAAACAGTCGACATCTAGGGCATCATTTCCCCAAAATTTGGAAACTTTGGGATCTTTGCTAGTATTTGAAATCAAGTTATGTTGCGCTGCGAAGATTAACCCTTTTAGTCCGATTCATTGGCAACTATTTGATGATGGGTTAAGTAATATTTCTTCCCTCGTTCCAGCTTATCCTAGATTTTCTGCTTTTTTTTAAAATCATTGTAAATGAAATGTCATGACAAAATAAGACATTTGATGACATCACGTAGTGTTCTGTAGATTGTGGTGGGCATTTTCACTTTTTTGTAACATTTTTTTTTTTTTTTAGACCAAATTGATTAACTACAGAACTTGAGATGCAACCAACTGTTGTTATCGTAATCGATCAATCTGATCACGTTTCAGTTTGTGATGACAACAGCTCAGTGAATAGTTTTAGCTCACGGTTAGGTTTGTCATTTGGTTGAAATGCATTTAAGATTCATCTAGAACAATACATAAAGTCGATGCATAAATCATCTTTTCATCTTAGTCACATAGTTCAGGTCTTTCAGTATTTCTCATCACCATCTCCTAGTAACCATGTTGTATTTAAAACACAAGAGTTTACATCCCTTATTTTAGGGATGGCATTAATAACGAGTATTATAATATGAGGCAATGAACTATTTAGCCCGTGGGCACATTATCAATGTCTACATGTATTGAGTGAGTGGAGGATATTGTATTGTGCACACAGCCTGCAGTGTAAAGAGAGAGCGAGCTTGTTGTGACTGTGACAGCGGTTTGTTTTCTGATGTTTCCCTCAGGTCCATCAACAAAGAACAGTTTCAACGGAAGAAGAACGACACGCTCGACCCTGAACTGTACGTTCCCCCTTTTTAACTCAGTAACTCTCATTTAGAATTCATTTGCACCATTTCTCTTTGAAGATTTCATTTACTCAGTTGAAGATTATATCTTGATTTTTAGATAAAAAATGTAGTTTGAGCAATTTGAATAAGGTGCTGACATATAAATAATGGAAGATAATGTGATTATGAGTTATAGTCACAAGAATTTATTTACCAAAATAACTTTGTCTTAACTTTACTTCTGAACTTTACTGACTTATTCATCAGCTTTGTGGCTCCTGCAGAGGAACAAACAGGGTGTTTTCATAATATGTGACTTGTTGCTGGTTTAAACTTTGGATATTGTGTCTGTCTTTTGTCTCCTGTTCTCGCTCTCGCTCTCTCTCTTCCCCCTCCTCCCTGATTAGGCTCGTGGAATGTATTGACTGCAGTCGTAAAATGCACCAGATCTGCGTCCTGCATAACGACACCATATGGCCGTTGGGGTGAGCCGGCTATCTTACGCACACTCTGTACATTCTGTTACGTGCCTGGGTCTGGAAAATAAATAAAGCCTTTTGTTTTCCTTGAAAAGCTTTCGAATGATCCAAAACATAACTAACGCTGCTGGAAAGGTTCAGCCGCTAACTCCTAACGCGCATATGAATACATGTTTTCATGTAGCTGCAGATGTGCTGTTTGAAGCAAATTGTTAAAGATCACACATGTTTCAAACATTTCACCACCTTAAAACTGAGAATATTGTTTGAGTCTTGATCGTTACATCTGGACTGAAAAGAAAATGTCGGCATGTACACATGCAAAACAAAGTAATGCAGCTCGTGTGTGCAGTGAGAGTCTCATTTCTCAAAGTTTGATCTCCCGTCATGTGGTCTGTATGTAATTAAAAGCAATTTCAGAATCATTAATGCTGTTTAAGGAAAGGAAGACCGGCATGAACGACTGAGTAATCTCTTGATTAAAGCCACTTAATCACTGTCATTGGTGCCGACTGTGACGGGACTGCTGGCAACCTGCTAATTTAACCATTTGCTCTCTGCTTTCTCACGAACCACAGCTTTGTGTGTGACAACTGCCTCAAAAAGGCCAACAAGACGCGGAAAGAGAACAAATACGCAGCCAAAAGTAAGTGGAGTAACGCTGATCTACCGGCTCGTTTCACGGCCGCGCCTCTTTTCCCTCGTTCAGACTTCACCATTGTGTTGTTGTCCTATGTTTTGATCCTTTTTTTTTTAAATTTGCTTTATTACCAACATTTAAAAACATGAATTATGTTGCTAATCATTCCGCTCCTTAATAAACTAATGATTTTTGGGGATCAAAATCAGCGATCAGGATTTGTGCTTTTGACTGAGACCAATGTGTGGTGAGGGTGATAACATTGCCAAGTTTAGCGAGCATGAACACACACAGTCCATGTGTCTCACGTCTCTCTGTCTGTCCTCTGTATTCCGCCTCTCTTTGCTCATACCCGTTACTGTTTTTTGCAGGACTTCCTCACACCAAGTTGGGGTGCTATTTGGAGACACGAGTGAACGACTACATCAAGAGGCAGAACCTCCCTGAATCTGGCGACGTCACCATCCGTGTGGTCCATGTGTCCGACAAGGTGGTCGAGGTCAAGCCAGGCATGAAGTCCAGGTACAATTCAATGTGTCTGCTGCTGCAGGTTTCGGGTTTTTATGCAGATAAACTTTGATGTGTTACTTTTCCTAATAGCGGATTCAGTCACATTTGGAATTTCCCATGAACCGCTCTTCATATCGGCATAATTTAGGTCCACCACACAGCACTTACTTTAAAGGAAAATGCATTATTTTCAAAGGAGATATGCCTGTTGCTCTCATTATTTCCTTCTTCCAAAACACTGGTGAAGAACACCAGGAGCAAATGCCAGGAATTGAGTTTTCATAAACCCAAAAATGATGACTGGTGTTTTAACTGCATGCCAAATTAATCGGAGCACAAAAGGCCAGATTGCCTCCCAGGTTACCATATGACCGGTTGCTGACAAGTTATTTAAAAGGTACATTTTTTTGAATGTAGTCTTTCACGGTGCTCACGCGCATAAAACGTGCCGGGGCTCCATTACATCACTTCCAGTAAACTTCACAGAGAACAATGAGGGCATCGCAGATCTGTTTTAACCGAATGCGCTCTGGTTGAGCTCTGATTTAAAAACACTGAATCCGTCAGCACGTTAGCATGTTGTTCACTACCTAGGCTACTGACGCTCCGCTGTCCTGCAGACACTTGCCTCGTTCATTGACTCAAGTTGCAGTTCACGGCGGTGCACGGCTGCAGAATGAGTACAGGAGAAACACGAGTGGATCTCTGGCGTTACAATTATTGGGGGAACACTGATGTAAGACTTGATAAGCTTCAGGTTAAACAAGCAGCACATCACACAGCAACGATTTCGTTGGTCAAACCGTCCTCTGGTTACTACCTTGATATCGAGATGGTTATCGAAATGAGATGACTTTGCAGTAATTATTCAGAGCGGTGCATCGCAGTGTTGGAGGGACAAAAGGCCCGATCAGTCACAATCAGGTGCTGGTGAGTCCCACAGCGGGTCAGACATCAGACTGATGTTAGTTTGATGATCACCCGTTGAACACACGTTCGACCCGTTAGCGATCACGTCTAGCTGAAGCTAGTTAACGGTTCGTACTGACCAGCTGGATTTGGACCATCGATGGCTGTGATCAGACGTGGGAGGGGTGTGGGGGGCGGCATCTCTGCAGGACCAGTTCCCAAGCGGAGGTCCTCCTCTTCAATGCAAAAAACGAGTGCATATGGTTCTTGTTGCTAGGCAACAGCTGGCTGGCCATGGTGCACAGTAGAGCAGGTAACGGGCAAGTCTGTAACAAGTCACTGAACACAGGGTTTGTTTACTGAAATGTTGTGAACACCGGTGGGGCATAAATGCACATTAGCAACGGGACAAGTTTTATTTCAGAGGCAACAAACTAAAATGTCCTTGTGTTGTGTTTGACTCTTGTACAAGTTTGAATTAGTTAAACATTCCAGTCACTGGTTACAATCTTGCATCTCATCTGTTCTCCATTGGGATCAAATATACCCATCCATTCAACATTATGGTAAAGACGCAGCAAGAAAGATTTCATAGCCGTTTTCCTCACCCCGGCTGGTTTCTTTTCTCCCCCCTCCAGGTTTGTTGACAGTGGAGAGATGTCCGCGTCCTTCCCCTACAGGATGAAAGCCCTGTTTGCGTTTGAGGACGTCGACGGAGCGGATGTGTGTTTTTTCGGCATGCACGTTCAAGAGTACGGCTCGGACTGCCCGCCGCCCAATCAGAGACGAGTGTACATCTCTTACCTGGACAGCGTGCACTTCTTCCAACCTCGACTCATCAGAACTGGCGTCTACCACGAGATCCTGATAGGCTACCTGGAGTATGTCAGGAGGCAGGGGTAAGAGAGAGGCTGCGACTGTCTCAAACATAATGCAAAGGCCCCAACTGAGCAGCTGAAATCAGTTATGAGATTTCTCTATCGGAAAACTTTAGCCGGAAAGCTACACAGGCTTTTAAATATGAGCTCATTATGCAGAGAGAAATGTGTTCATTAGGCTGTGTGTTCCAGGAGCTGCTACAGACAATTCACTTCTGTTCTAATGAATACGACATGTCTCCCTGTGTCAGGTATACAACGGGTCATATCTGGGCCTGTCCTCCCAGTGAAGGGGATGATTACATCTTCCACTGTCACCCAGCGGACCAGAAGATCCCCAAGCCGAAACGGCTGCAGGAATGGTACAGGAAGATGCTGGACAAGGCTGTTTCTGAGCGCATCGTCCACGATTACAAGGTGAGCCATGATTTCACGCCAGTCATTGTACCAACAATATGAGTTAATGCATTTATCACTAACTAATAAGGACATTAAAGGCTCTACAAGCACCTGAACACTTGTCTCTTTGTCCCTCAGGACGTCTTCAAGCAGGCCACAGAGGACCGGCTGACCAGTGCCAAGGAGCTGCCGTACTTTGAGGGCGACTTCTGGCCCAACGTGCTGGAGGAGAGCATCAAGGAGCTGGAGCAGGAGGAGGAGGAGAGGAAGAGGGAGGAGAACAGTACCTCCAACGAGTGCACAGATGTGAGTAGAGTAAGAGGCCGCATTTAATAATCACTTCAAGGTTCTTTTTTTGGTCACAGAATATTGGTGTGCTTTGTGTTGAAACTGACACTAAAATCTTTTTCCAGGTCACAAAAGGAGACAGCAAGAATGCCAAAAAGAAGAACAATAAAAAGACGAGTAAGAACAAGAGCAGCATGAGCCGAGCCAATAAGAAGAAACCAGGGATGCCCAATGTTTCCAATGACCTTTCCCAGAAACTCTACGCCACCATGGAGAAACATAAGGAGGTACGCAAGTCTGATTTGGTTTTAGGAATAGCTGCTTACGCTTTTATCGGATTATATGGCATAATCATAGGAACATTACGCTGACTTATCATCCGAGTTATCACATTGACTTCCACTCCCATGAACGCAGATAATTAAAATTCTGCTACTTAGCAGCCGTCGCTGCTGCAGCTCTGTTGCTGCTCATTAGCTGTTGTACTGGAGAAGCAGGTACAGCTCATACTACGGCAACTAAAACCTGCTTTACAAATAATTGATTCATCTATATTTTCAAATTAGCATGAACTATCACAGCCGTTCTCAGCATCAGCAGGCAGCCGTTCACACTATTCCACTGTTAGTAGAATTCTAGTAGAAGTCAACATGGATGTAAAGAGAAAGGAAATGCATTTGACAGGTTTTGTTAGATGTCGAGGATACACGCGTACACACACACTGTGTTTTAGTGAGACAAGAAACTCCACAGAGCGCCTTTTTACCTACAAACACCAGGGGTGTGAACATTCATTCAAATATTCAAATTCATAGAACTTTAGGAAATCGTCTCGCATGTCACTAACCTTGTTTAACGTTGCCTGTTATTGACTCCTGAGTTGACTACAAGAGAAAAAATAAATACTGGATCTGAATTGTTCCTCTTCACTCTGTTCGCCAGGTCTTCTTTGTCATCCGACTCATCGCTGGCCCCACCGCCAACTCGCTGCCCCCCATCACTGACCCTGACCCGCTCATGGCCTGTGACCTGATGGACGGCCGCGATGCCTTCCTCACTCTTGCCAGGGACAAGCACCTGGAGTTCAGCTCTCTCAGGAGGTCCAGGTGGAGCTCCATGTGTATGCTGGTGGAGCTGCACAACCAGAGCCAGGACCGCTTCGTCTACACCTGCAATGAGTGTAAACACCACGTGGAGACGCGCTACCACTGCACTGTGTGCGAGGTGAGAGTCGAGACTCAATTAAATCTTGTTTTTCTCCTTTTTAATTTAAATGGAGATCAAACTGCAGCATGTTGTCATCGGACACGACAGTAGCATAAAACAGTGATCTCATCTACGTTCATATTTCTGCTTTTGATGGAAGATGGAAAAGGGGTATTTTTAGCATTTGTTTGCAGAATTCTTGACAGAGATCCTCTGGTTATCTCTTCTACCTCAGTGTCTGCTTTAAACTAAAACCTCTCACCTTAATTAATCAGCAGACAACAGAAGCCTGGGGGCTTAACAGGTGTGGGTTTTATTCCCCAATCCAATTTGAAACAGCTTATTCCATTGTACTGTGGTCATTGTTGCCGCTAACTCCACTGTGGCCTTTGGCCAGTGCAGGGTGTAAAAAGCCATGTGCAACCTTCGGTACACATGGAGTCGGTAGCTGCCCCAGGTTTTACACCAGTGCCTTGACTCGAGCTGCTAGCGCAGCAAGAAAGACATGAAACCTCACTGTCCTCCAACCATTGCCAGTTGTGTTCATTGGAGTGCAGAGTGAGTCTTGATCTCTGCGATGGTTGGCAACCGTTTTCTATGTTGTGACACCTACAGGCCCAAACAATAGCATTTTAGTTCCACAGGAATGTTTTAACATGTATTAATTTAATCCCGTACTTGGATTCCGGTTTAATTCCCCATCCCTCCTTTTTTTTTTTTCTCCCTTCTCTAGGACTATGACTTGTGCATCACTTGCTACAACATAAAGGGTCACGAGCACAAGATGGATAAGCTGGGGCTTGGACTGGACGACGACAGCAACAACCAGGCGGCGGCAGCCACCCAGAGCCCCGGAGATTCTCGCCGCCTCAGCATCCAGCGCTGCATCCAGTCGCTGGTCCACGCATGCCAGTGTCGCAACGCCAACTGCTCTCTGCCGTCCTGCCAGAAGATGAAGCGCGTTGTTCAGCACACGAAGGGCTGCAAGCGCAAGACGAACGGCGGCTGTCCCATCTGCAAGCAGCTCATTGCTCTGTGCTGCTACCATGCCAAACACTGTCAGGAGAACAAATGTCCTGTCCCGTTCTGCCTGAACATCAAGCAAAAGCTCCGGCAGCAGCAGCTGCAGCACCGGCTCCAGCAGGCCCAGATGTTGAGGAGGAGGATGGCCAGCATGCAGAGGGTGGGGCAGCAAGCTGTAGGGCCTCCGGGAGGACCTGTGGTCGGACTTCCATCGCCAGGGAACAATGTTTCCACGGCACCCAGTACCCCAACTTCCGGTGGAACACAACCCCCAACACCCCAGACCCCGACTCAGACCATGCCTCCGGGCACACAGCAAGGAATGGGCCCTGGACCTGGAGTTCAGCAGCAGCAACAGCAGCTCGGTGGAATGCCCCCACAAAGTGGCATGCCTCCTCAACATCCTCAACATCCTCAACACCCTCAACACCCTCTTCACCACCAGTTCCAGCAGATGGCGGGTGGAGGAGGCGGGGCTGGGGGGATAATGAGCTCTCCGCAACATCAGCAGCAGATGCTTTCTCAGATCCAGCAGCAAGGTGGAGCAGGGACCAAGCCTCAACAGCTCCAACAGCACCCCAACAATTTGCCCCCATATGGCAGCAGACCCCCGGGCTCCTCCCCATTACATCAATCCCAGGGCAAACCGGTCCTTGGCTCCGCAACGCCTCCCCAGCAGCAGCTCGGTGGCGCCGTCATGGCTGGAAGTGTTGGGGGCCAACAACCTCCGGGCCAGCCTTCCCTTCAACAGCAGCAACAGCATCCCCCTTCTGGCCCTCCACCGGCAGCAGTAGAAATTGCCATGAAGATCCAACAGGTAGCCGATGCTCAGAGGAAGATGGCTCTGCAGAGACAAGCAGCTGCAGGCATGATGCCTATTCACCCCCACCATCAACAGGGTCAGGGTCAACAGATGGGCATGGGACACCCAGGGGCAGTAGGGATGGTTGGAACCCAGGGTATGCCACCACAGACCCAAGCGGCAGTGGCAGCTGCTCGGGCCCACATGGATCCGCAACAAAATGCTCCACCAGGGATGATGGTTGGCGCTGGTGGTCCCATACAGCAACCCCCTCAGCAGGGTAACCTGCCCCAGGGCCAGCTGCCCACTCAGGTACAGCTTCAACAGCAGCGGATAGGTGCTCCGCATCAAAACCCTCAACAACAACAACAACAACAACAACAACAACAGCAGTGGGCAGGCCAGGGGATGCCACCTCAGCAGAGGCAAGCTATGATGAACCAAATGAGCCATCCAGCCATGGTGGCAGCGCAACAACAACAACAACAACAACAACAGCAGCAGCAAATGCAACAGCAGCAGCAGCAACACCAACAAGCTCAGGGCCACGCTGCCTTGATGAATATGGCACAGCAGCAGCAAGGTACTGGTGGAGGGATCCCAGGGGGAGCTGTCGCTGGAGCTGCTGGTGTCCCAGGAGCTGTTATTGCTGGTGGGAACATTCCCCAGGCCGCCCTTCAGGAGCTGTTAAGAACTCTCCGCTCGCCCAGCTCACCACTCCAGCAACAGCAAGTCCTCAACATCTTGCGGTCCAACCCACAGCTCATGGCTGCTTTTATCAAGCAGAGGGCCTCAAAATACAAGGGAGTTCAGGGGGGCCCAGGTGGACCAGGGGGTATCCCTGGAGGTCCTGGTCCCACAGGGGGTCCTGTTGGTAATGTCATGGTCGGAGGGGGCCCACAGGTGAACATGAACGCTGCAGGTGGCGGCCAGCCGGGTATGCACATGGGGGCTCAGGGAGGAACGAATGTTAACATGGCAACTATGGCCCAGCTACAGCAAGTTCAGCAGCAACAGCAGCTACAGCAGCAGCAGCAGCAACAGCAACAACAACAACAACAACAGTTACAACAGCAGCAGCTACAACAACAACAGCAGCAGCAGAGGCCGATGCTCACCGGTTTGCAACAGCAACAAGTGGCAGCTCTCCAGCAGCAGCAGCAACAGCAGCAGCAGCAGCAGCAGCAACAGCAGCAGCAGCAGCAACAGCAACAGCAGCAGCAACAACAAGGTGGAGGAAGAGGTGTGCAGGCCCAGGGGCCACAGATGGGGAATATCAACAGTCCCCAGTTTAGAGAGCTGCTCATGAGACGGCATCTCCAGCAGCAGCAACAGCAGCAGCAACAACAGCAGCAACATCAACAACAAATGGGAGTAAATCATGGTCAGTTCCAGCAGCCACAGCCACCACAGGGGCAGGGCTACATGGGACAACCTGGGATGCAGCCTCCTACAGTGGGACAGGGACCACCGGGAGGGCCGCCTCTTGGCCCTCAGCAGCCTGGTGGTCCCCCAGGCCAGCAGGGGCAAGGTTACCCGGGGTCGGTGGCCCAGCAGCAGGCCGCAGCTGCACTCCAGCAGAGGCTCCAGCACCAGCACCACCTCCAGATGCAGCAGCAGAATGCCATGGCTGGCCTGCCAGGAGGTGATGCAGGGCCAGGTGGAGGGGGTGTAGGAGGCCCTCAGCAGCCACCTCAGGGCCCTCAGCCCACGCAAAGTGGCCCCCCATCTTCACAGGCTCTGCTCCAACAGGCCCTCCACCAGAGGCTTCTCCAGCAGCAGCAGCAGCAGCAGCAGCAGCAGCAACATCAGCATCAACATCAGCATCTGGGCCCTGGGGGGTCACCAGCCCAGCACAGCAATCCCATGAGTCCGCAGCAGCCGCAGCAGATGGCCCAGTCCCCACACCTGCAGGGCCAGGCGATGTCGTCATCGCTAGCTAACCAGGTGCGATCCCCACAGCCTTCACCCAGACCCCAGTCCCAGCCGCCACACTCCAGCCCGTCCCCGCGCATGCAGCCCCAGCCCTCCCCACATCACATCTCCCCCCAGATGCAGACGGGTTCCCCACACCCAGGCCACCTGAACCAGCACCATCCGGGCATGGTGGTCCCTCAACAACAACAGCAACAGCAGCAGCCAACGACCCAGCAGCAACAGAACTCTATGGAGCAGTTTGGGTCGGACCCGAGCGCCATGCTATCCCAGCTGAGTGGCATGGCTGGTCTACACGGGCCGGGGGGCAGCGGTCAGGACCCTCTGGGCCAGAATATGAATCACAATACTTTAGACATCATGTAGGAATTCTACTTTACGTGTCAAGTTGAGCTGAAACGCTCTGTGATTCTTCGCACAAACTGCACTCACCCAGGACAGTGTTATTGTTATTACTTAGCCTTTCTTTTTTTTATACTATTATTAAATGTTATTTAAAATGTTTTCAATAAAGATGCATTGAACTGAACTTCCTATGGGAGATGAACAATAAATCAAGCAGTCGTTAAATAAATTTGAATAAATGAAATGTAAGTTATTGCTGTTAATATATTTTTTTTGCCAATTGTGGACAAAGAGGGAGACGGTTTCTCTAGCACCCCTCCCCCCCACCCTCACCTCCACCTCTTGCTGAATACAAGAAAGGTGATATTTTTGGGGGTAAATAGGAGTACTTGCCTTTTTTAAGAAATGTTTTTAAGATTTTAAAAGTGGTCAAGAATTAAAGTGGAAATGATTTAATGCAAAGAACTTTTTATCGTTTTCGTTTCCCCATCATTCAGTCCGTCTGTCTATTTCTGTTTGGCAGAGTAATGTGGATTGTTATTAATGCAAATCCAAACATGATGCATATCTTTTTTTTTTTTTTTTTTTTTTTTTTTTTTTTTTGTTTGGTTTTTTTTTTTTTTTTTTTTTTCTTTGGGGGGGGGGGGGTGTTATGTACCCTGAGACTGCTACAATTCGTATAGAAATATATTTTTGTTATGACTGGGGTAGTGAATATTTCATTTCACGTTAGATGTCTTTAGTTGGGTCTGTCCAGGTGGGAATAATTAATTGTCAGTATTTTATTGCAGTGGTTGAGGGTCTGCTGTGAACTGAGATGTTGAACGGACTTATTGAGACGTCCCGGCCAGCTTCTGTGTTGGACGTCGATCATGCTGGAAGGGACTCTTCCCTCGCAAACATGCAAGCCCTCTCCCTCGAATGTGTGTGCACTCCTTCCTTTAAAGACACTTCATATGGAGCAGTGGAGGCTTGGGGAGGGGGGATGCATACCTGTGTGCCTGAAACATTTTGAGTACATGGGCTGGGATGTGAAAAAAAAAATGGGTGGGGTGGGCTCCTTCTAGTGTTTTTAGGATTCCGCTGTTTGGAGTAAACAGAGGATTTTGATCCAAATGAACTGTGTTGCACAGAAATGAGGAGAAAAGTAGGAGATAAGAGCAGTTCGGTCTCCGTCTCTTTCTGCCTCGTCTCCTTTGCTGCTCCCCTTGGACTTTTAATCCCCTCCTCCTCCTCACCTTCCCCTGGGGGAAGTTGCTCTCCCGCCCCTCAAACTCCATCCTCTTTATCTTTCTGCTAAGAACTTTGGGAGTTTAATTTAATATTTTTTACTGTACAAAGGAAACACAAACTGTGGACTCAAATACTGTTTTTTATAATAAAATGAAAATTACCAACAGTGACGTGTCCTGCATGTGGCGTGTTTGTTAGACATATGATTGTGTATTTGGTGAATATGAGAAGTACAACGAATCGTATGTACTGTAACATGAGTTGGTGTTATTCAGCGATCTGTGGCTGACGCGCTGCCTCTCCAGGATCAAGACGCCGGCTCACTTTTAATTTAGCTTGATCACCATGGTAACCTATTCTGCACAGCTCCTAAAGGGACATAAATACTGAACAATAAGGTTAAAACACTAACAAACGAAGGGATAGTTTACCAATCAAAAGAGTAAATGTGACGATTTGCTGCAATTTGACTTTTGTAGATGGCTTTACTTTCTTTCCAGCTGTGGTTAACATGACAAACTAAATTTTATATTGTCTTATTTTAAAACAAAAAGGCCTTAGCTTTACTTTGAGATCTATTTTATACATGTATCTATATTTCAACATTTGAAAATCACAGCTGCCACAATAACTGAATTTAAATGTCAATAAGAAGCATTGAACATCAGCAGGACTACCAAGTTAATAAAATGTTAACTAAAATTGTTCAGTGTGCACTTATAAATGCTAACCTGTTTCCATTTAAAGTCTAACATCTGCAAATACATTGTATTTATAATACAATCTGATTATTTGATTTGATGCTCATTGAGTTTCCATTTTTTTCCAGCTCAACCTCAACTCCAAATTCACAGAAGCATGGTTGTAGCTGAATAAGAAGCACAAATAGCTTCATGTCTTATAAATTATGTTTTTTATGTTTATCCCCCCCTCCCACGTCCACTGCTGCAATTCCGACACACTGAGCCTATGATTCAGCAGGGATTCAGAGACTATTAGCCTGCGCTTGATGGCGTCACTTACAGTAATTTGTCTTTCCTGAGAGCAACACGCCCTCTAGTGAAGACACATGGCAGCACGATTGTGATCTGTTATAGTGGTCGCATAACACATTCAGTGGTGGAACGCATTATTGTATTAATTTAAAGCATTAAAAAGTTATAGTATAGTATGACAATGGTTTGCTAGTCTGCGTTCCAGTCTACAGATCAGCTACTCTGCCTGGCCGGCTCCACCGCAACCCCCAGATCTACTCTCACCACACATTTACTTCAATAAAGTTGCTTGAAAACTGTGTCCAGGTTCTGCTCGTGGGTCGTAAATCCACAAAATTTGACAAGTATGTCATAAAAATAAAACATAGTATGTCATGAAAATGTCATCATATATTCATAGTGTTAAGTCATAAAAAGGAATTTCAAAAATAATAATTTATCATACAAAAGTTGTCAAAGTATGTCAAAAAAGTCATAAGGTTGTGTAGTGTGTTAAAAAAGTCATAAAACAATCATTAAAAATTAAATTTAAAAAAGAGCAGAGCGTAAAAAGTCATAGAATAGTGCGTCAAAAAAGTTATAAAAGTAGTGTTCAAAATTGTCATAGTATAGAATGTCAAAATCCTTAAAACGTCATAGCATATCTGTGACGACCCTCTCTGTCTGCTTTGTCACGTGGTTCACGTGGCTGCATTCCCTGCAGGTATGGAGGTGGGCGTGGCTACGGGTCATCAGTAAAGTGGCAACACCTTGTCTCATCAGCATCAATGGCCACACCTGGGCCCTGTGTGCCAGTGCTCTCTCTTAAAAACCTTCTTGGAGCTCAGTTGCCGGTTCGCTCTCCTCCCTGAAACACACATTTGAGTTTTGGGTGATGTTTTGGTTTGTGTAACACACTTTCCATTCATGTGCTAACCGACACTGCTGAAGTTACAGACTCCACACTGCACTGTTAGCTTAAGTTCTCCTCTTATGCTGACTTTGAATTGGTAAATAATTAGTTAAGTGGCAAGGTTGTGTGCATCTCCCTCTTTTGTCATGGCACTGCTGCCCGGTGTGTGACATAGTATGTAATAAAAAAAAATGGCATCAAAAGTGATAATATAGTAATCATGAAAAGCCCTTCAAAGTCACGGTCTTGCCTCAGTTTCGGGACACACTGGTCTTGGTTTATGTGGTCTTTATTACAACACTGTCAAGTGATAACTTCTTGATTTGGGGGGCGCTGTTGACCACAAAACAAAATCAGTGTCTCTTTGAAACAAGTACATTACATTACAGTCACTTAGCCGACGCTTTTATCCAAAGCGACTTACAATTCAGATACTTCATACACCGTAGGCACAGCTACGGGAGCAATTTTTTATTTTTTTTTTAAGTACAAGTGGGTTGCACAAAAAGGAAAATTATCGTTTTAACAGAAAGGTCTGGATTTGTATATCAGGACTGCCTTCATGTTTCCAGCTCTTCAATGCACTTTGTAGAGTGAAGATAGAGTAAAATAACTACACAAGAAAAGCCTTTTAGAAGGAAAACTGTCTTTGAAGTGCTGTGAGGTTTGCTCAACCCACTATCTGATATTTAATGTACATTAAAAGTACTCGCAGTAATCCACATGATAAATATGCTCCAGGAGACAGTTATTTTAGTACATATTTATTGTAAATGCAGTCAAAATAAAAATCAATTTTTAGAGAAAAGACATGTTTGACAGTTTATCTTTGTCAGAGAAAGACACATATAAGTGACATAAGTTAGTTTAGCTTATACATGTGACATGCAATAAATAAAAGATCACTACAGTTTGACCTAACGTACATTTGCTTCCATTTGTACACAGCAGAACAGCGGCGGTGTAAACTGATATGCTCTTTTGAAATGCACAAAGGCTAGTGAAAAGAGCGGACTATCAATTGGTAATACAAAAATAGAACCAGGTAGCATTTCATACTTGAAAAGTAAAAGGACAGACAGACGGCAAGCGCGACTGTGTATTTCTTTTTGTGCATCCAGCCCCCTTCAAATGCAGAACCTCATCTAAGCGGAAGCCATTAATTCTCTCTCTTTGTTTTCTTTCTTTTGTGACAGAAATAAACCTCTTCAACAAACTACAGGACAGGGCTTTGTGCATGTGTGGCATAGACTGACAGGGCATGCAGCACTCTCTGTGCAAATACTGAAAAAAAGAGCAATATCTTTACAAAACATTATTGGTAAGAAAGAGGAGCAACTGAAACAGGCCCCGAGAACAGATTTGAGTGTGTGACCGATCTCTGGCTGGAAAGCACTGAGGACGTCTGGAGTAAATAGCTGCATGGAAGTAGAAGTAGTAATGTGGAGTGTTACGTTTGCTGTCTCAGCATTTGTCTCCTGCTCTCCGTGAACCCAGTGACCCGCCACTGAGATCCATTTAGTCTGCTGGATTGCAATGGATGATTTTGAGGACTTTTTTTGGGGGGCGGCCTCGGGCTTCCTATGATGGCATAACAAATGAGCCACAATGATAAAATTACCACTCGTTTACTTTTTTTTTTTTTTTTTTTCCAAAAGGCAACAATGTCTTCATTGAACTCAGTAGGAAATGAGTGTCGTTTTGTAAACATGTGGAACTACCTTAACATACACAACTATTTACATGTACAAAATGAGTGGCAAGTCTAATTATGGTTATTTTGATCTCTCTCTTTCATCCTTCAATAGCCCTTAAAGAAGCCTTCAGCCACCGGGGCTTCTTTAAAAGTCACCGTCAGACAGTTGATAGTCACGTCTGTAGAAATCACCTTCTTGGGGTGTTCTACTTCAGCGGGATCACTCGGACTGCCCGGC